TACATTTTTTTTCAAAGTGCATTAATATGGTCGATATTAACGTACTTTGAAAATAAATATTTTTATTTCAAAGTGGGTTGACTTGGTCCCAAATTTAACGCACTTTGAAAATTTTTTTCAAAGTGCGTTGTAACAAACCTAGGAATTAACAAATATGCAACAAAAAAGGTGGACCGCCTTTCAATGAATATTTTCATGCTAATTTAACGGTAGAAATTATGTTTAGAGAAAGTGGAGGGACAGACCCCCCCCCCCCCGAATACACGCATTCATTTATAAAAACCTTTACTTTTGAAACGTTCAATACTATCATCAGTTTATCAAAAAGGTTAAATTAAATTCAATGTTTAAGACGTTTTATTTTTTGAGACGATTGTAACAACTTCAATCTTTCATTTCTGACACGGGTTTTGCATTCTGCAATTAGGAAAATTTCAAGAAAGGTATGTGGAGCAAATTAAAATAACTTGTCAACTTATGAAGTGCAACCCCCACAAAATGCACACAGTTATGTCACATGAAATTCTCCTGACATGAAATAGGCTATTTGTAACATTGGAGAATGAAAGCTAAAAAAAATAATATGTGTATATCAGCTTCCATGAGAACTCTATACATTGTCTCTTGTACATGTAGTTTACTTTGATGAACTTTTATACTTTTATATCTATCAACAACTTTTGATGAACGTTTCCAATGAACATGATATAAAAAATGTCTTACTTCAAGTTTTACTTGCTGCTTGTCTAATGACCTTGATTAATTTCCCTTCATCCAGTAAAAGTTAGAAATGTTATATGAATCACAAGCAGCATTATTGACAGTCAATTATCTGTGCATACCCATTTATGTCAGGAGGAAGTGCAACATTTGATTTTTTGCTACTCAAATGGAAAATCTTTTATCAGTTTGTGATTTCGTTGCTTTCTATTTTGGAAAATAAAGACAAAATTTACCAAATAAATCTATCAATTACAGGATCTGTCTGTGTTTCAGATCTATATTTCTATGGTCAGATGTGCAACACATTATTTTCAAGATCCAAGTTCAATGATGGAATGATCATGACTTCTATTCATACTAATAAGTATTCTTTGATCAATAAGATCAATAAGGATCTATTTGAATAATTTAATACTAAATTATTGAAATTATTAGTATTGAAATATGTCTCTTTTTCGATTTCATCAATCCAGGTGTGTGTTTACCCTTTTTATATTCATATGAAGCAGAATTTATTCATAATCTTGTACACGAGAGGAAGAAAACACTTCCTGTAGCCTTCAACTCGACATTAAGATATATGGACGACGCATTATCAATTAACAATAGTTACTTCCATTCATATTCCATTCGACTTGATATATCCCAGGGAACTTGTAATAAAAGATACCACAGAGTCTGACACATCTGTTTCATATTTGGATATTTTACTAGAAAAAGACTTAATGGTAACGTAACAACAAAACTTTATGAAAAACGTGATGACTTCAACTTTTCTATCGTCATCTCCCCTTAATTATGTAGCAATATATCCTTATAATCTGCATATAGAGTTTATGTCTCCAAGTTGATTCGATACATAAGGGCGTGCTCTACGAACGAACAATTTCTAAAAGAGGCAAGCAATGGACAAACAAGTTGATGAAGCAAGGATAGCAACAGTCTCATTTCAGGTCAACATTTCGCAAAAACTATGGTCGATACAGTGTCCTTGTCAGCAAATAGTCTAAGATTAAGTGGAATGCTGACTGACTTTTTTATACTAATTGTTAGGCTATCATTTACACACTGATATGTCTACAGATTTTCCGTATGCCTGATCATGACAAAGAGCATAAGATGGGTGTGACCGGTCCACATGGGATGCTTACTCCTTTATGGAACCTGATCCCACCTCTTATGCTTTAAGCGATCCATGTTTGCTCTCCTCCCGATTTGCATTGTTTCAATGTAACTATTCGGTATCGCCATATTTCATTTCTTCAATTTTTTTTTAAAAAAATTAAAAAAAAACACTGATTTTTTTTTTTAAATAAAATTTAAGTAATTCCACCATAACATCACTGAAACAACTGAACACGTTCAAGTGTAATTTATGCTTCACAATTCCACTTAAAAGACTCATATGTCCTAGGTCAAATGTTCTTGGTACCGTTCACGGTAGCTCAGTCGGTATATCGCTCGCTCCGTGATCGGGAGGTCGTGAGTTCGAATCTCGGCGCGACTGACCTAAGTCGATAAAAAATGGGTTGCAACTGTTCCTTCGCCATACGCTCGGCACTTTGAAGTGAAAGTTGCGGGTCCTTTGGATGAGACCTTAAAAACCGAGGCCTCGTGTCACGGCAGGCGTTGGCACGATAAAGATCCCTCACTGCTCAATGGCCCTGAGTGCCGAGTAAAGCTTAAAGTTTGAAGCCCTTCACCGGTATATGGTGACGTCTCTATATGAGTGAAAAATTTTCGAATGGGACGTTAAACAACATACAATCAATCAATCAGTCAATCAATCAATCAAATGTTCTTGGAGTGCGACAAAACTGTTAGAATTATCCCTTATCAAATATGAATAAATATAAAGAAAAAATTGTTGAGTAGAATGTTTCTTATTGACCTCTATGGCTTACAGTGTTTGTCACATGAAGCAAAATGTCCTATAAAATATACTTATATGCTTCTAAATATAGTTTTAGTTTATTTTATTTTGTGACATAAGTAGGGAATAATTCAAGATACAAAGCAATTTTAAACAAGTTTATGCACTTTAACCATGAAGCATTGGGTCTATAAATATTGCGCATTTTCGTTACAACTTGATGTTGAAAAAACTTTATAAATGTATGTGTTCTATGGGTTTAATTTTACATTTTACTACAGTCATGAGTGCAAAACTGTTTTATAATTATCAATGAACTTCATGCATCTCTAGTTACTAAAAATAAAAAAAAATAAATTACAGAAAATGTTTGATACTAATTGTAGTTGAAATCATTATGTTTATCAAGTTATAGACATTTTTGGACATTTTACAGTCCATTTACAGAATAGTTTTTTATCACAGAAACATTTATTTTTACATAAATATTCCATAAGCAAATACATGTACGTATTTTTGACCTTGCTGCAAAAAACGATGGCCAGTCAGTGAACCGCATTTATGTAATTACATAATCTATAATTAAATAGCACAAGAGTAAAATGGTTTGTGCATCTAGTAAGATATTTTGAACTTTAGGTATTCTTTTATTCTCAGAAAAGGGACACATTACTAATTGTAGCATTAGTTCAGTCTTCTCATTATTGGAGTACGTAACAAGTGAGTTCATTAAATTGTAATCCTAATTGCAGAACAAAATCGTGTGACAGTGATGAATTAAAACAACAATGATCAATTCATTATCTGCTTGCTGCATCTTTCCTATTCTTGTCTGATTGTAAAACCTTCCCACTGCGGAAAACATGTCATTAAAAGACTAATAGACGAAACCACGCAATCCTCCACAGATTTCATAATGACAAGCTTGTTTTTCAGTGTAGTGTAGAATCTACCTTTAATCTAAAGTTCATACTTTAATTTTTCATTGCTGCATAATCAATAAAAAACCCGAGTCACTTTTGAATCGGTCACTTTAATCTCATAAAACTTAAAGAGGTATAGTTTAAGATGTTGAATTTAGTATGTTCTCTAATGTCTGCCTCAATGAACTAACCAAAAATTAACACTGAAAACCTTTGACATTAACAGTTTTAAAGTATTGTATTTTTTATGTAACACTCGTCATCTTGGATTTATGAGGACATCTTTTCACATTAGATCTTTTAAAAAATCAATATTTTCACTCTTCCTATAGGTTTCGGATTAGGTGTAGCTTCGAATACCTTAAAAGATTTTACATACGTTACCAAGATTTTAAGCATGTAACTATTTTTTAAAAGTAATTTGCTTTACTTTAAATAAATTTCTATACTAAGAAATACTGTAACTAATTTGTTTTCATTGTTTGACGAAATGAACTTGTTGGTGATTGCAACTGACCTTTATCGATTCAGAAAAGACAGAAGAGTATAATTGGCCCTGGTATTAAAAATTCTCTACAGACAATTATGTAAAACTTAAACAAGTTTCAAATTGGAATCCTGAATTATAAAAGTGAGCATGAAAAAATATATACCCTTTTATATCGCTGCTGCCGTCACAGTTGCTCAGTCGATAGAGCGCTCGCTCCGTGATCGGAAGGTCGTGTGTTCGAATCACTGCCGCGACTGTTCAAAGTCGATAAAAAAAAAAAATAGGTAGCAACTGTTCCTTCGCCAAGCGCTCGGCATTTTGAAGTGAAAGTTGTGGGTCCTTCAGATGAGACCTTAAAAACCGAGGCCCCGTCACGCGAGGCGTTGGAACGATAAAGAACCCTCACTGGTGAATGACTCTGAGTGCCGAGTAAAGGTCTAAATTTGAAGCCCTTCATCGGTATATGGTGACGTCTCTATATGAGTGAAAAATTCTCGAACGGGACGTGAAACAACATACAATCAATCAATCAATATATCGTTGCTCTAACAAGCCCCTATCTTTACTCCTCACAAAAATATTCACTGCTATGAAGGAGAAAACTCAGAAGTACTGTACTACAACATATTCAGAAAGTGGTGTAAATCCAAATGTTCGATTCTCAAAAACTTCTTTTATAGAATTTTAAAATCACAAAATTTTTTCTCAAGTCAGTAACATCAACATGTATGATTTTTCAACACTTTATATGCTTACTATACACTTTATAAATCATTCCTCACAATAAATTAAAGTTTAGGCTTTTTGATATCAAAGACGACTGGTTCTTCGATAAAAATGAAATTCGGAAATTTTCTTTCTTGTGATTGGTCATCTACCAAATTTATTTTGTAAAAAATCATGCTGATTCTACAAACATGTACTCTGAGGTTGATATTGAAAAAATGCTGGAGCTCCTCAATGACAATATTTATGTGATACTTTCTTGCAGGTTGTGCGCATGCTTGTTGTGGTCATGGTGCTGTTCGGAACTCTATGGCTTCCATATCGGATTGTTGTTATCTACAATTCCTTCCAAGAAAATCTGCAGTTTAAGGATTCCTGGTTCTGGCTTTTCAGTAGAACAATGGTTTTCGTCAACAGCGCTATTAATCCTATCATTTACAATATGCTATCTGTCAAATTTCGGCAAGCATTTCGGAATATTATCTGCAAAGGTTAGACACCTACAGTGTTATCAACATCTTGACTTGGTTCATGACGTTTCAATGTTGTATTTTTATTTTTAAAATGTATTTTATGTTCTAGTATCATGTATTTTGGATACTTTATGGAATGGCAATGCTCCCTATTCCTCAATTACTATTAACTATTTTATTCCATTTCGATTTTCAGCAGAGACTCTTACAAAACATGATGCGTCTACTTCTTTGGATATCAAATCAAGGTACCTTTAAGTGAACTGTACTGTAAAACGTTTTTTTTTTGTATGCAAAAAAGTGAATTTCGTTTTCCTTACGGTTTATTTTTTTCCAAATCACACCAATGAAATTCATTGAATTTCTTGACAATATCTCGAATTCATTATTATCATAGATAGTATGGAATTAATAAGTAAAAGTAACTACAATCTCAAGTTTTAAACTCCAAACAAGGGATCCAGAGTTATTACTCTAACACGAATTCGATAATCTCATTAATGAGGCCCTTGACCTTTGACGTATAATCTAGAATCAAGATAATGACAAACCTTTAGGTCGTGAGCAATGTGAGTTAAAATTTCAACTGGGAACTCTAAGCATTTTAAGCATTTTGACAAAACTGCAATTTACAACATAGATTTCTAGCATAGTTGTTAAATTTCACTAAAAGAAACATTTCTGACAAGACTGTTTGGAACAGCTTTGCTTCTTTTTGTGTTTCTATCGTCTTTTTTTCATAGTTTTTTTTAATTAAAATTAAGTATTTTAAATGTAGCTCCCTGTTAGCAAATGAACTGCATGTATCAACGTAACTTAATGTCGTATATGCATGTTGTAGAGAATGTATCATCGCTTCCCTCTTATGTGGGATATAAAGTGGCAAATACAGAGAAAATCGACTCTGATACCCGATATTATTTTGAATAGATTCTTAAAGATACTATTCATTCCAAACAAAATACAGTTGCTTACTGGTAAAACAAGTGAAACAATTTCGACTGATAAAAAATGAATTAACACTTCTGCAATATCTCATGAGCATAGAACAAAAATTGCCTACTTACTTTCAACAAGTGTTTAGATTACAAAGTTAATTAACACTTGATATTTTATGCTGGTGTTCATTACATACTTATCTTGGACCTCAGTTGTATTTTAAATTAAAGAGGGAAAGGCATTTAAATTCATTCAGGAAGATTTAAAAAAAAAAAAACGAGTGTGCAAAATATGATAAAATGTTCGTTGATATGATTCATTCTTCGTCAAAAATTGTAAGGGCACAGGTGCTATAACTCTTGGATTTATGTTTTTTATGAACTTATGAGTGTGAAATTGCTATTTAGATTTGTTTTTGCTCTCTTTGCAAACAGTTTTAGGTCGCAAAAAAATTACCTCGCATTAAATTGTCATTGTCGTTGTTACCGGAAAGATAACATGGACAACGCTATTAAAATTATTTCAAGTTTGTAAATTTTAAAATTCCCCAATGTTAATGGCCATATTATTTTAATTTGTTTTAAAGATGAGATAACTTCGTATAGCATAATTTTGCTTTTACAGACAAGGAGAGAGGGACGTTTAATCAAGGTTTGGACACTTCTCTCCGCCTATCGCACATGTCCAGGAAATCCTCACGGTACTCCTTCACTGCTGAAATGTTGATGAATGGTCGTATTGTTCAAGAAGAAAGGCTAGTTCCATGGACCAGAAGTTTCACTCAATGAAAAGACGAGGGAAATATTCAGCAGTAATGAAATTGTATTTCAAATTTTAATCTATGTTCACGTGTGACATTTTGAATTTGTATTTTAGATAAATGATAATGATGTTTTAAGATAGATGAAAGCAATGATCTACAATGATATTAGGTAAAAATTCCTGACATTCACAAATTTAAGGAATCGTCTTGTAAAAATGCCTTGCCCAGTTTTGATGGGGTGTTTTTCAGAACGAAAATACTTTAGTTTTCCTATAAAATAATGTAAGATTGGATATATTCGCATATTTACATGAATATATACCTTTGTCTTGATTACCTCTTCTTCTTCTGATGGAATATATAAGATTATTAACTTAAATAGACCAAAGAGCAGTAACTTCTGCAAACTCGTCTTTTTATGAGTAAAACAATTTTATATCGGATATTTAGTCGTATGAGCTGATTTCAATGTATAAGGATCAGAACTGGAATATATATGCAACCATCTGCATTGTTCTGAAACATTCAGCGTATAGAAATGGTGCGGTCATACTTCATAAAGATAGTTCTATTCTTGATACTGTTTTGTTACCATCATCTTAACTTGAAAGGGATATCAATGACGTTAACCAGTTTAAGTTGAATGTAAAATTCATAAGTTTGCTAAAAAATAAATTAGTTAAGTTTAGTATTAAAATTTGAATATAAAAGAAAATCACTACATATCTTACAAAGATTTTTCCAAATAAATGTTGCAATTGTTTGACTTGCTGTGATTTTATTAAGCCTAACCCCCTCTCTGATCAGTCATTCATGACATGTATACGCAGTAAAGGGTACTATTTTATGCAGATTGCTGTAAAGTACCATTCCTTAAATCAAAAATTGTTGCAAATGGACAAATTGACCATTTAATAAACCATCAACAATACGAAAAATTGATTTGATACGCAAGAACAATTTAAAAAAAACGAGGCAGGTTATTAACAAATAAGTTGATGGTACACAATTTCGTTTTAAGTCAATATTTCTACGAGGACTGCTCAATAAATTATGTCCTGAACTCTATGACATACAACATAGAAATCATATGACACTGACCTTGGCTTTCTCTCAGGATTGAATCTTTATTTAATAAACTGATAACAGTTTATGTGACCACGTTTCATTATATAGTTTAATTATGAGAAGCTGGAAAACAAGGGCTATTCGAGACACTGCATTAAAAATGATTCGTAAAGAATCAGTAATCAAGACTAAAGTTAAAAGCTTTATTAAAGCTGCTGTAAAACTCGATAAGAATCCCAAAGAAATATTCACTGAAATATGTGATATTTACAGCAACAAATGTTTGTCGCATAGATACATGAGAAGGTGGATTTCAATAATCAAAAATGATAAAATACAGGCATCAAAGATGATTACCGTCCATGGCGACCAGGATTAACAACTGATATAATGTTTGTCAAAATTCAACAAATTATCACTGATGATATTTGATTGACTTTAACACGCATAGCAAATTTAGTAGGCATATTTTTTGGGGTAGTTCACACTGTTTTAAATAAGCATTTGACACTGAAAAAGCTTAGTACTCAATGGTTACCCTATGTTTTGAGAAATGAGTGAAAACGGCAGTGTGTAAGAATATTCAAACATTTTTTTTTAAAAATCAAAAATTGTAGTTATCCACGTTTGTCTGAAATTCTAACAGGTAATGAAAACTGAATCCATCGCTTTGAACCCCGAAGAAAAATTTACAGTAAGATGCACTTGGCCAAAAGAGCAACGGTCTTGAAGAGCAAAGAATTGCCAGAGCACAAGGAAAGTTTTATATGCCATTTTCTTCAATAGTAGTGGTCTTGTTGTTCAGATTCTCATTCGGGAAGGCCGTGCATTTTCTGGATGAGTCTAGAAAGCACATTTGTTACACAAAATTTAAAAAGATTAATTTATGAGAGGAAGGAATCAGAATCAGGAATCTGCTACATTAATTTTCTTCACGACAACGCTCCAACCCACACGTCATGAATAGTAAAGGAGTTTTTTGGATAAACAGAAAGTTAATGTTTTCTCACACCAACAATATTCGCCAGATCTTTCACCCTTCGACTTGTATCTTTTTTCAAACTTGAAAAAAAAAACCTTTCAGAAAGAAGAAACAAGTCCAGGAAATCATAGGATCTGCCATATTTCAGTATACGAAGGGCATACTCAATATGTGTTTAAAAAAACAATTAGAAATTTGATAAAAATGTTACAGACATGTGTTTCAATTAAAAGAGAGTATTTAAGGGGTATCATTAAAGACAAAATCATTGAAAAGTGTTTTTGTTTCTTTCCAAACACCGAGGACATAATTTATTGTTTGTTTGTTGTTGTTTAACGTTGTTTTTCACTCATATGGAGATGCCACCACTTGCCGGTGGAGGGCTACAAATTTTGACCTATACTTGGCACTTAGGGCCATTGAGCAGTGAGGGGCCATTTTCGTGCCAGCATCTACTGCAATACGGGATCTCGGTTTATACAGTCTCATCCGAAGGACCGGTCTCCACGTCACGCAGTGGGACTCGAACCCGCGACGTAAGGATCAACTCCCTACTCCGCAACTCTATTGCAGACGCTCTGACCACTGCGCCACGCGGGCGATCATAATTTATTAAACAGCCCTCGTAAATGAATTCTAGGTCGATACAATGACCTTGCTTGCAAATACAATCTGTCGTAATTCGGGTGTTGACTAACTTCTTTCATACAATTTGTTAGACTACAATTTTCAAACTATTTTGTCTACGGATTTTCCGTTTACCCAATCACGACAAAGAGCAAATGGCGGATGTGACATGTCGACAGGGGATGCTTACTCCTTCTTGGAACCTGATCCCACCTCTGATGCTTTTAGAGGTCCGTATTTGCTCTGCTCCAAATTGGTATTGTTCCATGGACTGTCCAGATTGTTTACTGTTCGTTATCTTCACATTTCATGCAGTAGAAGATGATAATATAATATAATATAATATAATATAATATAATATAATATAATATAATATAATATAATATAATATAATATAAAATTATATTATATTATATGATTTAAATGGAATTTGAAGCATTCTTTTCTTTCTTTAGAAATGTCTTTTGGTTAAATTGGAATGCATATGCATATCCGGCATCATTCTTCGTTAAATATCACTCTGGGATACTTACTTTCACAATAACAACTTTTTGTCCAATCATCGTTGAGAGTTAATTAAAAAAATATAATAACATTCCAAATTAAGGCAATGTCTGTTTATGCAGAAATACTACTTAACTTCAAGTTAGTATTATAAAACTGAAGGGAAGAAAGCAAAATCAAAAAAGAAAAATCATCGCAAAAGCTATCAAATCTTTATCCTCACTATCAGATTCCAACATTGAAACTCATTTAAATAAAAAGATAGTTACATGTAGAAAAAGAACGGAAACGAAAGCGAAAGTGAAAGAATCAGCAGAACATCAAGAAGCGGAAAAGAACGGAAGAAGAGCGATAGCATTCACCATTGTAACACTTTTGATTGCAATCAGTTTCGTCACGATGACATTGTTCCAAATAATTCAAGCCACACTGAGAAACCTAGTTCCAAAACAGAAAATTTCCAAGTCAGAGGACATGATTAAAAAATACCTTCCAGATATTATTACCTTTAACGGCATTCTGCTTTGTGTACTTTTTTAACTGATATACAATTCAATCAAGAACTTAAGAAACTATGAGGCCGAAAGAGGTAGGCAACTATTCATTTTTGCTAACTTCTTAGCGTTTGTATAATGATATGTGCATGAATACATTTTCTGAGCCTAAATATTGTTATGTTTATGTTTTAATAGTTGTAACACAGCTTGTGAATGAGGTATACATTTATTTTAGTTTTACTTTGTTGTTGTTTTTGTTTGTTTGTTTTTTTTTTTTTTTTGGGGGGGGGGGGGGTAAATAAGGCAATGATGGAATTCGTTTAGGGTGTTTTACTTTTTTCTCGTAATGGAAAAGGTTCTTATGTTGATCATTGTTTCCTTTGGAAAGAAAAAAAAAAAATCTATTCTAAATGTTTTCCCCTTGAAATTTATTTTTGTTAGCATATTGTATAACTCATATAAAAGGAATATATATATATATAGAATTATAGCGATATAATTATTATAATATCTAAAATTAAAAAATACCTAACAGGGCTCTAATTGGTCACTAATTTAGTCGCCATGGCACCAAAAAAATATAATTGGCGCCTAAAATTTTTCTACAAGTTGCCAAATTGGCGACCATTTTAAATTTACTTGGTGTTCGTCAAATTACTGAACTATAAACATTTTTAATATTTTCTTTATAAAAGCAGAAAAGAAGTTTAAAAGTTAGAAATGGCCATGTCTCTTTATATTGACTAATATTAGTTTTTAAACTGGTGCCTAAAAATATTACCTGGCGACTAAAAATTTGCATTGGCGACTAAATATTTTTGATTAGGAGCCAGTTGGCGCCTACATTTTAGAAGTCACGTAAACGCCTGCCTCAGGAGACATCTAGTAAAAATGCACGTGCAGTTTCGATGTGTTTACAGAAAGGATACCAATACGACTTGAGACTTGCTATAAAACAATGCAATATGTATTCGCATATCTGTTTTTCAGTTACAACCATTAAACTTATTTTTACGAGTAAAACAGTATTGGAAATTGAGAATAAAAATCATTCATGTCAAGGTTACATGTATCATTTGAAGAGTTACACATCATGTTTAATATGCTTCCAAGTTATTCAAGTGTTATATCAATTTTATGTTAGGCAATTGAGGAATCATAAAACATTTTGTAAAATTGTTTCTTGAAAAAATATAGTTCATGATTTAATTCTGGTTTGAAAGTATTATACACATGTGTCCTCTATATCTGATCTCAAATTGTGCGACGACCCTACTGCTAAGGGTCATGACTTGAGCAAACGAGTTTGTTCTACATGAGGATGCTTTCACTGTTTCATCTTTTCCGGCCCAGTGGTTCTTGATTTTTTTTTAACATATACCCACTAATTTTTCCCTATTTCTTAAATACACCCCCAAAGAGAGGTTGTTTTTTCATTTGAGCAAAATTGAACCCCCTTTAATTCGGGGATGCTTTGTAGCAAGTGTAGTTAAAATTGGCCAATCACGTGTCTCTGGAATATAAAAAGTTTACAGACGACAACACGACAGACAGGCGCCAGACACCCTTTGATAAAAAAAAACTTGTTTGAGCCTTTGGATCAGTTAGACTTATGATGGTGCTTTAGAAAGAATTATTAGGAAGTATGTTTCAAGTGAATGACCCTTTCTATAACTGTTTAATGGTCCAATATTGTGAAATAAGCGACATTATCACAAACCTCATTTAAAACGTTGTCTTTAGGAGAGGAAGTCCTGGCTTTAAATTGGGTATCAAGATGATTATGTATTTCTTATGTTTATTTTGATAGTTCTTTCATGAATGGAAAAGATTCTTTCCATCTTAGCTGAATTTAATTGACCAAAAGGCATTAAAGAGGGATAACTCTCACAATATCATTTTCATCAGAGTCGCTAAATAGGACCTTAGTCTAACTTTATGCAACTATTGCATGGTTAAATGTATTAATGAGTTTCCTTGCCTCTAATGATGAAAAAAGAATCCCTGACAAGGAAAAATCCATAATTTTTTTTTTACTTTTATACAACAATTAGCCCTTGTATATGTAGAAAAAAATCGGACTAA